TACTTATGCTGCCTATTCTAATCTAATGCGATGTCATTTAAGGTAAGAACTGGTGATAAACATTTGGAAACTATCTTACCAGTAATTAACTCCTCGATAGCAGCAATGAGCTCTCCACTTGGAGTTACCTATGTGTCTTTTAAGCACTACAGGCAGGGAGAAGTGATGGGTAGGCCATAATTGAAATAAATATATGTAAGTCAGCATGGCTTCCCCACACCATTAGTTTAAGCAAGGGCGAGGTACAGGAGGACCTCCTGAGGAAAAATTGTAAGTCTGTGACAAACGATTCTCTAGAGGAGATTTAATTGTCTTTCACCCAGTTGCAAGTTGGACCTCTCACTTGTACTTAACCCCCTTGATCAGGAAGAATTAGCCCCTCTTGTTCCAGCCACGCAGACAGTCTTAACACTCCAAGAGTTTTCAAAATCCACAGGGTGTTGTGAGGTTGCATGTGAAACGAAAATCGAATCAATCTAACTGCTTATTGGAGCCTTTACCAGGCCTGCTCCCCATAATGCATGGTGATAAGATAAGATAAGTAAACGCAGAGCTTTGCCACCTAGCAGCGTGCCGGCCAGTCCGGGCCAGCCAACATTTCATCACATGAGCTGAAGGACAGGGCTTTATCTGGAGTAGAGAAACTAGCTCATAAACTGCATTTTAAGTTTTCACGATTCAATAAATGAAATTTAGGAGTGGTTGCTGGGAGAACTGACGATAACTTTTATGACCTTTAAAACATATCATGTATATTAGTGTGTAAAGGAGAGTTTCCTCCTTAAATTCAATAAAGCATGTTGTGGCCATGCTGTTAGCTGTGGAGACATGATAGTGCCATTTCCATGACTGTCTGTTAGTTGACATTTCACAGCAATGTTTGAAAGTCCATTAAAATACAGTTAAATGAATAAAGTGAGACTTAGAATGAAGGATTTGTGATAAATGGCAGAGAAAGTAACTGGATGATTTCGACTTGATACATGTAATAGAAATGAACTGTGCATCAGGGTGGGTGGCTAGGTGATGGGGTAGAAGGGTGTGAAGGGTGGGGTCCTACATGAAGATAATTGAGGTATCAACTCATGAATAAATAGGTCAAGACCCTAATGGACACACAAATTGTAGAGGAATGTGAAACTGACCCAATCGCCTGGAGATATGTACCAAAAAACAGTGCTGATATCGACAAAGATATACTGGGGAAATACAACCCTTCCAGCGAAATTGACATACATTCCGTGAGACCAGCTTTATCTAAATGATTCCGTTTTGGCGAAAAGATGCATTTTGATAGAGGACCCCTCCGAATTGGCAACGGGCTACCCAGATGCTCACAAAAGACGAAGCCCGAAGCAATCTTTCCACCCGGGCGCGCAGCATTGTTAGTTCCTTCAATGAATTCACAGCTAACAAAGCCTAAACTGGCTGATGCTCTTTTTTTTGTGATTTTGCCGTCATCCATTGTGAGTGTTCCTCATTTGAGAGAGCGAGCTTGCTGCTCCGATGGTGGGGCACTATTAGAAGATACAGGGATCGCAGATATAAGCTAAGATAGTCTTCATATTCACCTCCCTATGCTATGCTTACACGGTGGCGAGCCAAGCAGAAAAGAGTGCTGGTCTATGTGAAGGGTCAAAATTGCTTGGTTAGCCTGCTTTCTTTTCTTGTAAGAACCTCAATTTTAAAACTTTTAAAAGTCCTTCTACACACAAGATGATTCTTTTGTCCACCTACATAACTCGAAATGGAGATTCTTATCAGTTAACAGCTATCAGCATTGTGACAGAAAAGGCTGAAACATACATCATCACTAACATGTATAACATGCAAATGACGGGCGACACTGCATGTCGGTGCAGTGATGTCAATTTTAAGTGAAATTTACATGGACTGATAATATCAAAATTCAAGGACAATATAAAACTTGAAACTGAACATGAACCATTTTTTTTGCTACATTTGAAATTCCCCTTAAGTCAAGTATACCTAATCTCGCATAATTTGTCTCCCTTGAATGCAATCTCTTGGCCTGTTAGTCGACGAGAGTAAATGCCAACAAAGAGTGCCAAAATCATAATGGCCACTGTAGCCAGTAAGATAATTTCCCCCTCTTCAGATACACCATAAACATTCCTGAAATTCCACAGTAAAAGAACTCACTGTTTCCTAGAGATAATGTAGACAGACCCCTGTTTACATACAACCAATATTTCCACAAATTATTTCATAACATGCAATAAACTCTGATTTTATCAAAAACAAAAAGTAATTCATTATTTTTTTCATAAATCTCGTAGATAAATATTTCCTGATAACTTCTGTCATATACAGAGATGTCAATTTCAGAATCAATTTTGAGAAATGTGCATCATAACAACAAAAGTGTATGTGTGAAATTGACAATGTAAATATACCGTAACACACTTGTACTGCTCCCTTGCAAGGAGAATCTACAGTGCAATAAACAATCCTTAGAAGATTGGCTGTAATTGAAATGTTAGACCAATGATTTGCAGCAAGGCAAATTCCCTGTGCCAGGTTTGGTTCAAAGACTAACAAACCCGGTGGGGTTCCAGTGGCTACACAGTTAAAAGAGTTATGCCAAAATATTTTGACCTTGTCAATTGCACTGTGGAAGAAATGCTCAAGGGGTATTTCTCCAGAAAGCCAAAGACATGAACGACAGACTTGAGCAGGCAGTATTCAACACAAATCTCAATTGGCTTGCTCTCATATGGGAGCCTCGCCAACTTAACTGCCACGTGTACGAAGCATTGGCAATAATTACCCTGTAGATAACAATCCCAAGAAACACACCTTCCAACTAGTTTTTCCTTCTAGCTTAATTCCCCCAAATTAATACTGGCATGTTATTTATTGGAGATTTTCATTATGCCACTAAAAACTTACAGTGTCTGTTTTACTTGAAATGATGACTAAATCTAGACCATGCTGTTGTTATAACCTGCTACTGAGATCATTAACTGATGCATCATTTAGAAATATGTTTCAACTAGATAGAAATGATTTGTCAAACTGGCCAGTAAGTCTCATTTCAGTCCTACAAAGCAAACACTGCAATCCATGGAAAGAGCATTGGTGACAATTAACCCTGATCCCTAGCGAGAGTGATTGACAGCTACCTACATCAAATATATCACAGTAAATCTGGGTGATCCCGATAAGCCTGACAAGGTATCCCTGGATCTCCACTGAAACAGAACTACAGCCATCTCCTACACACTGGCGCTTGCCATCATACTGCACAAATTAATCAAATCCTACAACTAAACCATCTTAATAAGCCAAATTAACACATGCTGATGTGAAATATACATTCTAATTTATGAAATTGACAACTTCCTGAAACTGACATCTCAAACCATGAAATGAACAGGCCTCAAAGTGACATCCCACATCTTTGAAATTATGTACTAAATGAACCAGGAGTTCCGGAACCTGACATGTAGCACATTAAAGTACCGTGCTTGGTCCTCCACATCGCAAGTTACGTGTACCTAATCGCTGTCAACCACGTCAACCTTTGTACCTTTCAACATGTGTCACTCTGGCTTGACCTCTGCTTACCTGAATTTCCATTGGAGATACTACCTAGTCAAATTAGAGCACAGTATCGCGTGTGCAGTCATTGTGTAACACAGATTTGTGCTCGTGAGGATTTCGTGATAACCCGAGTACCAATCGTACTTGATGGCGTTTATCATTTCCTGAGTATTGTGGGCAAGAGGGATGTCCTTGCTCCCCCGCCAAGTCACCTATCAACACATTTGTGATAAAATATCACTTGACAAGATTTAAGAAATCTACACCTGCATAATCTCGTCCGGGGCATATTATTGTGTACAAACAGTATTTGTATTGCTTGCTTAAATAGAAAGCATGCTCCTTGCTTGAATTGTATCTTGCTTTTATCACTGGGAAATATTTCAAACTGTAATTATATTTACCTTTGACCCTAAGCACCTTCCTGAATTAACCTTTGACCCTTACCAACCTGATTAGACCCTCACAGTACAACAAAAGCCTTGGTGGAATTTAGATCATGGACAAATAAGTTTGTGTAGAACAATAACCTGCTTGTGTATAAATAATATCCTAATTTGATATATGCAGTGATAAAATATTTGCAAGCTGGCAAGTCAAAACTAATGGCAATCTTACAAGGCTATCATAATGCAATGTTGAGCTACTTTTGCAGGGACAATTAACCCTCTTATTCCAAGGTCAGCTCGGGAACTGATCACATGACCATCTTGACTTAAAACCTCCCCCCAATCCTCCTACCCCTCATCATGTACCTGATATTAAATGGACTTGTCGAAAACCCATCTGTAAATTATAAATCCAAAATGTTGGGCATATTAAGCCGATTGGTTACGAGACGTTGTAATATTTTATATCCTCATAAAATACCACCACCCAATCACCGATCAACAAGCACAAATATACCTGCTACACAAACACAAGGAAGCCACTACATATTTCCCCAAGAGGATTACGAGAATGTAAGTTTGTGACTTAATGGTGGGGGAACAGTAGGGACAGGGGAGATAACTAGTAAAGGTTCTACATTTTTTCCTCAAAAAGACAAAGTTGGACTGAAAAAGTCCCTCTTAAAAACATCCCCCTTAATCAGTTGAGGCGGTCATGTAGCAGACATGGTCTCAAATTCCTGCAGGAAGATATGACAAGCCAGTAAACCGGCATCCATTTTTATATGTCCATTATCTTGGTGGATTGTAAAACTGCGTAACTCTAATTAGACAAATGGAGCCACAGACTTGGCCTCTCTCTCAAGTAGTTCGTCTAGCGGGGAGAATATAGTCGTCCACCTCATTAGTGGGGCTTCACCTTGCAGTGGTGACATCATTGAGATGATTTGGAGGGGCTCGTAGCTTTTCCGTGCCCCAAAGAATCTCCAAGAATGGTCTTAAAGTTGAGGGAAGTCTGGGGAAGGTCGCTTCGAGGGCACTTACCAATTGTTTACTTGTAGTATCGTCAGACCAGTGTCTTGAGCTAGCTGCTTCTTCTGTTCTTCTGAAGGGTAGGGATGCTGCAACCAAAAGATGCCACGTCATTAACGCAGTCAAAATAAACCTGCGTTTACCCACTTGCTATTTAATTGAGTAACGTTCTCGTACCTCGGAAAATATTTGTTTGATTTGGGGAAGGCTCTTAAACTGTGAACTGAAATCTTCCTTGGGAGTGAGTTCACATAACAAAATGTGTTTAGAAAGGATATATTTCAGTGTGGACCACAAGCCGATTAAACTCAAGATAAGTAATATGTTCAGGCTCTATCAGGGCTGGACCATCTGGAATATATTTATAGATTATATTTTCAATTGTAGACAAAAAGGGGACTGAGGAATGATACATCTTTGTTCATTTGTGACCTCATGTTACTGGAAATATTGAAATACTCTATCTCAGAATATACAGCGAATAAACAGGATTTAGATTTCATTGCACTCACATAATGCAATAAATATGCTTGAATAAATACACATATAAAATCATAAAACTCTACTTAAATGTTAACATCTACTTAACGGCATTTAACTACACAGAAGACGCATACTGTTAGATGGTGTTTTATTACATGATTCACAAACAAAACTTGACAACATTTACAGTTGCACAAAAGCTGAAAAATAACCTATAAACTAATTCAAGCATTTCAAAACTGGATCCAATTTCTTGCCATATAGTGACATTAGGATACCATGTAAAATATTTTTACAATTTGGGTGTAATGTCAACTCATTAAGAATGGCCATTTCGTATATCCTTGAAACTGTCCTACAATAAGGTGTTAAATGCCAGTGGGGTGTGATGGTGCACAAACAATATACCAACGTGATTATGGACCAAGTCGTAATAGCAGTGAAAGGTCATGTGGCAGTTTGCTAAAATTACAACCACGGGCCATCAAGCACTTCCAGCAACCCTGGACAGGAAACACAGGGACTCTGTGGGGTTGATTTGGGAGATAGGGGGGTGGCGAGGGGGGTGGCCAAATGTCACGTCCCTTTTTACTCCCATCTCGTTAAACATTTTAAAGATGAAAACAATGCAGTATCTTGCTCTGACTCAGGGTCAGACTTCCATTGTTGTGATGACTTGAGACCTCAATTTTCGCCAAAGTTTTGTCGGCCAGTCAGATCAAGCCTAGCTGACAGAAATGATCAAGTCTCGCGGGATTTTGGGAGTGACATGATTTCCAATCAGATTTTTTTGCTCATTACAACCGAGAAGGAGGTCAAGACCATCATAATCAATTCACAATTTTTCTCTTTTGCATATTCGTTATTCTATGTTTGAGAAAACGATTATCATAACATGATTATCATTTCCATATTGAATCCCCCCCCAACTGCAGCGACACAGCTAAAGCTATGACCTTACAAAATATGTTTCCATTAAAACATTCAATATCAAAAGATATTTTTGGAAAGTTTTCAAAAAAGGCTGTGAAACTAAATAAATGTTATTCAAACATTAAAGAAAATAGTCTGGATTTAAAAAATAACAAATACAGAATGGTAAACAAGTTGGTTTTTATCCAAACATCGTTGGAAACTGGATACAGATTTTCTGATTTTCTGTGTATACTTAGACCACACTGAGCACAATTCTGCAAAACATGGCTATTCAACTTTCATTGTGGTACTTTCCTAATTCAGTTACCTCGGCGACATTGACCCTACTATGCACACAAAGGGTAAATACCCCATGTTTTGACAATTTATAGAGGCGGGACCGCCCAATCACAAAGTCAGTTGCATTGTGTACTTTGCCAACTAAGGCAAACATCGCCCACGATAGGGGAGCCCGAGATCTGCTTATGCACTGAGGATTACTGAGATCTTATTTCCTTTGTAACATTGAGTTGATACTTCTGTAGACTTCTCACTTTACTAAAAAGCATTATGAATAATCTGAAATTAATGCAATAATTCTGTATCTTAAAATGATAAATGTTACTTGTGTATTTCATGATTGTCTGACTTAATAGTAAAAACCTAAGCAATTTGATTAGTGATTGGAGCATAGCCTGATAGAAAATATTCAAGGAAGTGATGTATGTTTCTAATCTCACTTGCGCCTGTCAAGATCACTGATAATATTATTGTCATATTATGTGTCTAAGATGGCCCAGACAAATTTTGTTTATTCGTGATAATTATGATGTCTGGGAATATTATTTATTTTTAGTAATTTGGCAATATTATATGTGTGTTTATCTTTCTGGATTGTGACCAAACTTCTTATCATGGGAAAGAAGTGATCTAGTCTCTCCTTAATATAAGCTGTCACACAATAGTGAAACTAGCACCACCGAAATTAACATGACATTTACATCCAGTCACAAACTTTCAAGATATGTGCAAAGTATAACACTTATAAACAAAGAAAACAGCCTAAAAATACCCTACGTCATATTTCAACTCTATAATCTACCCTGGCACCGTTGTATATTTGGATCTCTGGCTAAAAATACATTTTGGCAGAGAACAATTTTCCTTCACTCCAGAAATCGGCAACAGACAACAACGATGGACAACCATTTCTCTTCATTACAGACAACTAAGGTTTTCCTTCAGCATGATGTAAATAGAGTTAATTTAAGTTGGCCAAATACATGTTTAAACCACTGAATCAAGCTTGTCTGAAACACAACCAGGAACAGACAATAGAAAGTACTTGCAACCTAACATACTGATGTTGGGAGTAGAAAAACTAAACTAATTATCTTGGACGGCTAACCTGTATAAAAATCAAATTGTAACATTTGTTCAAAATATTTAAAATAAAAAAAAGCCAACTAACATAATTGTAGAAACGAAAAATTTCCCCAAGCTAACAAACAGGTGTTGGGAAATTAGCAGATATCACTTTCTCAAAATAATATGTGGTTATTTTCCGGAGCATGCATACATTTATTATTGAAACATGACAGGGTTTGAAAAATGTTTTGGTTACGAGTGTCAATTTCTTGTCAATTAGCAATTAACAACATTCCAGAGGTGAGTCTGATGATACCTAGTGTTTAATCTACATCACCTAACACAATTCAGCCGCCATTGTTTCCACGCTCGCACAAATCCAATATACTCGGGCTATATTTCAGAGTTGTTTTAACAGCTACACAAAAAACACAATATGTCTGAAAATAGTATTTGCAGTAACATAAAACATTATCTATCTAAATCCCTCCTAAAATACTTCCTTAAATCAGATAGAAGGTACGATGAAATAAAAATGTTTCCTTTTTTAAAAAGAGTTAAGTCTGTTTATTTTCAGCCGAATTTCTAGGTCATTGCCACAGTTTTCTAACTGAGCTGTGAGCTGTAGAAAATAACTGGTGCCAAGACCCATCTTGGCTCATCATGCTACTCAGTGGGGTATTAAACAGTAGACGGAATTAAATGGATGTTTTTAAGCCATTGAGAAATATCACTTATATGTACAACTGTGAAGCTATGGAGACGAGCATTTACGTTTATTTGAAATATAATTAAAGGATCTTGGAGACTGTAGATAGTAATTTTATATCAAAACCGTCATGAACCAAAATAGAAATGATCTGTCATAATGACATCTCATCAATTAGGGCGATGGCATTCACATATTTACCTCCATCAAAGAACTACTGACAAGCCAGGTATCTGGGTCTCCATGTTCAAACTTATTTCAGAAAGTGACATAGGTTGACCACTAGTGATTGAACAACATTAAGCATTAAATAATTATTGAAATGAACCACAATTACTGAAAGTCTCTCTAAGGGGGAGATGCTCTCATTGCATCTGTCCAAACAATGAGTGTGTTCCCCAGCTGAAGGAAGGGATGTTTGTTTGGTCAGGGGAGATGGACATGGACACTTGGGGTGGTGAGTGACTGACACAACAGCTACTGGGACACAACCCCCAGCTGAGCCCCCCCAGGACACAATGTACTTGCCACCCCTGTAATCAGTCGGATCCACCCCCAGCCCCTGGCCCACTGGGGGCTAGCTACTTTGGAGATTCCCCTTCCTAGGCTGTGGATGTGGTCTCTCGTTGATATACTCTGGAGTACTTGATCAACGAAACAGACAGCATCTTGAAATAGGTTACACGAAATTGACGCAAAGTCTGGGTATGATTTAATAATATGAAAATTATTAAAACAAAGGATAAATACTAGATTGATGCAAGATTTGTTTCTAACCTGATTAGATTTCTCATAGACAAAAAAGAAGGTCATCTAGCTATTGAAACCAATTCCAAATTCAATATAGCACAGCTAACTGGCATCATTGTCTTCATATGTCAATCAGTCACATTCAATCTGCATATTTAATTCCAAACACAACCTAGATTTGAAATTAGATCTAGAAAATTGCAGTTTCTCCTTTCATAGCCTGTGAAGTGTAATTGTAGGATAGTGATCCGATGATCGGCTGCCCAGTGTCCAGCGAGTGGACAATAGGGGCGGGTGGCTGGTCATCAATTAGGGAGCACTGAGGGGGACAAAGGGATGACACTTGTATTGAGTGGACACACTAGTGGACACTGGGTAGCCACAGTCCACTACATTTACCCTAGGTGGCTAAATGGCGGGTATTGTACGGGTAACTGTGTTTGTTTTGACGGTCAGTGGCGGTCAGCTTGTCAGTACATTATTGATGTCATAAAGATGGGCTGGAGAGGGTGCGGGACAATTCCTGATTAGGGTTTATGTTGCATGTAATAAGGCAGAGTCGATGGCATCCCATGTTCTGTCACACATTTGGCTTTGTGACACCTGAAATTTACGACAAGGCTGTTTGATTTGGGATTACACAATGTAAGAACTACTCAAGGAAAGACTCCATTTACATCATCATCTAAAAGGGTTAATTGAAATTTACAACTTGCACTTTTCAATTTTTGATAGTGATGTATCTGCCGTTGACATGTAAGTTTCATAAAAAATGTCAAAACTTGTCCATTTCACTGAAATGAGTATCTCTCCTGTCCATCAAATCATTTAAGTCAGGTACAAATTGTCAATTAATGGTATACG